AAACATATTCTTTATACAAAATAACACTAACAAAAATATAAGCCAAATTACACACCATGAAATGTACATAACTGCCTCGCAGGTATCATCTGACATTGACCTCATTTTCATGGTTCATTGGTCAATGTATAGAATGATTGTAAGGGGTGCATGTCAGTCTGGCATGTTTCTTCTGACCATGACCTTATATTTATGGGTCGTCAGATCTACAATTTAGAGCCTCCCATTGCCAAAACTTGACTGTTTATTGTTTCATGTTAACACTTCTGCTCTGAAACTTCTTGCCCAAAAAGGTTTCATTCTTGGAACTTAGAGGGAAATGTTTGAGAGGGAATTGTTTGTCTTCATGTGTAGTTGGTCATAGTATACTGCCATTTTGATTTGGCTTTTTTTCAGGAGTTATGGTTCTTTGACATTTTCTGTCTTAATAATCCTAATGTAGCATAAATGACACCTAGTGAATGCTTCTACTATGAGACTATAATATATGTCTGAAAGCTTTCATACTTAAAGATTATAGTAAGATCGTTTGATCATGTGTAGCTGACCATACTGTTCCACTATTATGATTTGACTATATTTGTGTGAGTTATAAGACTTTGACCATTTTTTGCTTATTGTAGTATAAGGAAACTAAAGACCTTTTGTCCTACAGCATTCAAATTTGATACAACTGATAGTTTATCATACTATTTCATCATTTGGATTTGATGATTTAGTTGGGCATTATGAGAAGGATTTGATGCCCGCAATCATGTATAACCCTCCCTCAGTCCTCTGTCAAAATTATTTAAATGAGCTTCCAAAAAAGGTTTTTCTGCATCTGTAGGGATTAATGGTTGCAAATATCATAATGAAATTCATGTTAGCATTTTCTCAGCGATATGATTGCCCCATATATGTTAACAAAAAAAAAACAAAAAACAATAACCCTATCCCCTGTCCCTAATGAATGAGGATGATGATATGAGCATTTTTTTAAATTTTAGTTGTGACTTGGATGGAGAGTTTTTTTATTGGCACTCATACCACATCTTCTTATATCTATTTAGTTGAGGGTTGGGGTTCTGAGGTCTGACTGCATTTTTGGGGAATAAAGTCCCCTTAGAAGGCTCTTATGTCAAGGCAGTGGCATACAATACAGTAGCAGGGGTAGGTAATAACTCATCCAAGTTTAACATGCTGTTTTCCCAAATATGCATCAGAATTTTCTGGAAAACATGCAGACATCATCAAATCAATTTTGTGAATTTGAAAGCAGTAACACAAGAAAACACAAGAAAACAGAGATGCTGTTAATGGAAGCTCATAAAACCTACAGATGGACACAAAGCTCAAGTTAAATAAACAAATGCTTACTTTTAAGATATCAAAAGTAGCCAATAAATGTCAGAGATTTGTATAGCATTGTGGTATATGACAGGAATATTTACACAACGATATTGTATAGGCAATACACTGCAACATTATTTTTGGCAAAAAACAGACATTCTATCTATATAGCATTAAAAATGAGGTTTTATGCTTTTAACCAAAGAAAAACCAAGCACATGGATCCCCATTTTTATACGACTGCAAAAATTAAAAAATTTTTGGTCGTATATTGGTATGACGTTTAACTTTAGTTTAAGTGAATGGATCTCCATGAAATTTTACCATAAGGTTTAATACCACGAAAGGAAGGTTGGGATTGATTTTGGGGGTTATGGTACCAACAGTTAAGGAATTAGGGGCCAAAAAGGGGCCAAAAATAAGCATTTTTGTAACTTCCAGACAATAACTTGTGTGTAAGTGTATGGATCTCTCTGACATTGTACCACAAGGTTCCATATCACAAAGGGAAGGCTGTAATTGATTTTGGGGGTAATTGCCTCAAAATTTTAGGAATTAGGGGCCAAAAAAGGGGCAAAAAACAAGCATTTTTCTAGTTTCATTACAATTACTTGTGTGTAAGTGTTTGGATATTTCTTAAATTGTACTACAAGGTTCCATATCACAAAGGGAAAGCTGGAATTGAGTTTGGGGGTAATTGCCCGAAACATTTAGGAATAAAATGGGGGCCAAAAATAAGCATTTTTCTAGTTTCCATACAATAACTTGTGTTCAAGTGTATGGATCTCTCTGAAATTGTACTGCAAGGTACCATACCACAAAGGGAAGGCTGGGATTGAGTTTGGGGGTGATGAATCATAAGGGGGTTCAAAAAATTTGGGGGGGGGGGGGGATTTTTTTTTTTTCTTTTTTTTTCTTTTTTTCCTTTTTTTTTTCTATTAAAATTTTCCATTTTAAGTTGGTTATTTCTGATTTATATTTAAAAGCAAATAATAATGATATGGTAGGAGATACACACCAAACAGGATGTGTAAATTATTATACAATAAGTATTGTGCAATAGCAAGAAATTTTCAATTGCACAGTATTGCACAATAGCAAGAAATCTTCAATTGCACAGTATTGCGCAATAGCAAGAAATCTTCAATTGCACAGTATTGCGCAATAGCAAGAAATATCCAATAGCACAATATTGTGCAATAGCAAGAAATTGTCAATTGTACAGTATTGCGCAATAGCAAGAAATATTCAATTGCACAGTATTGTGCAAAAGAATATACTTCGTATAAATTGCTTATTTCTTGATCAATTTCAATGGGGTTTTATTCTTGAATTCTTGGGGTTCTTTAATATGCTGAATCTAACCATGTATTAAGTTTTTGGATTTTGGGCCCCGTTTTTAAATTGGTCCACATTGAGGTCCAAAGGGTCCAAAATTTAACTTTGTTTGATTTCAATCAAAAATTGAATTATTGGGGTTCTTTGATATGCCGAATCTAACCATGTATTTAGATTCTTAATTTTTGGTTCCGTTTTCAAATTGGTCTACATAAAGGTCCAAAGGGTCCAAAATTAAACTTAGTTTGATTTCAACAAAAATTGAATATGTGGGGTTCTTTGATATGCTGAACCTATACATGTTTTAGATTTTTGATTATGGACCCAGTTTTCAAGTTGGTCCAAATCGGGGTCCAAAATTAAACTTTGTTTGATTTCAACAAAAATTGAATATATGGGGTTCTATGATATGATGAATCTAACCATGTATTTAGATTTTTGATTATGCGCCCAGTTTTCAAGTTGGTCCTTATCGGGGTCCAAAATTAAACTTTGTTTGATTTCAACAAAAATTGAATATATGGGGTTCTTTCATATGCTGAATCTAACCGTGTATTAAGTTTTTGGATTTTGGGCCCCGTTTTTAAATTGGTCCACATTGAGGTCCAAAGGGTCCAAAATTTAACTTTGTTTGATTTCATCAAAAATTGAATTATTGGGGTTCTTTGATATGCCGAATCTAACCGTGTATTTAGATTCTTAATTTTTGGTTCCGTTTTCAAATTGGTCTACATAAAGGTCCAAAGGGTCCAAAATTAAACTTAGTTTGATTTTAACAAAAATTGAATTTTTAGGGTTCTTTGATATGCTGAATCTAAGCATGTGTTTAGATTTTTGATTATGGGCCCAGTTTTCAAGTTGGTCCAAATCGGGGTCCAAAATTAAACTTTGTTTGATTTCAACAAAAATTGAATATATGGGGTTCTTTGATATGCTGAATCTAACCATGTATTTAGATTTTTGATTTTTGGGCCCCGTTATCAACTTTGTCCACATTGAGATCAAAAGGGTCCAAAATTAAACTTTGTTTGAATTCATCAAAAATTGAATTCTTGGGGTTCTTTGATATGCTGAATCTAACCATGTATTTAGATTTTGGATATTGGACCATAATAGGTGAATGTCCAATTTAAAATTTTTAAGTTCTTAGACCACATTCATTCTGTGTCAGAAACCTATGCTGTGTCAATTATTTAATCACAATCCAAATTCAGAGCTGTATCAAGCTTGAATGTTGTGTCCATACTTGCCCCAACTGTTCAGGGTTCGACCTCTGCGGTCGTATCAAGCTGCGCCCTGCGGAGCATTTTATTATGTTTGCAATCAGTTGAGTAATTTCTCAAGAACTAACGGCTGATTTTTTTCTGCGTGCATTTGTATTGGCAAGAAAGATGCCTGCTGCTTTCACAGATGTCATCAATAATTACATGTTATCGCTATTTTCCGAAATTTTCCTTTGATCTTACTGACTGATAATTTCCTTTCTCAGCACAGTAGAGTGATATGAAAAATTATCACAAAAACTAAGGCTGCACGTGCCGTTGTTAATGAAATTGACAACGTCGTCATAGGTAAAATGGCGATAAACAGATTATCATTGGTTATCTCAACTCGATTGTTTTTCTCACTTTCGCCGTACCGGCTCAATTGAGAAAATCAATCTCGTCGAGATGACCAACGATAATCTATAAATATCACAACAACTTTATCTTGTTTTACCTTCAACTTTGTAACTACCTTAAAGGCCTTTAAACCATGGAATGTTTTACAAATAAACAGGTGAAAATATATCTTTTTGTTTGAAAATTTTGATATTTTTTTAGGCAATTATTTAAATATGAAAATTAGTGTTTTTGCCTATCATGACAACTGATGGCCTTGTTTTTGTTTAGGCTCAATAAATCAAAAAAAAAAGGCAGTAACGCCAAGGCAATCTCAGAATGGTGCAAATATTGTTGAAAATGACTAAATTAGACATAAAAAAATGGTATGCAGATTGCAATTAATTGTTATGAATGAAGGGATTCCTGGACTTGTGGTCAAACATTTATCACTATTATCATACTCAAAATACTGGATTTGGTGTTTCAAGCACAAATTTTGTACTCTGCGTACCATGAGTACTGAATAAAGTTTTATGATCGAAATATCTGAAGAAAATCTTTATGAAGTAAGTGATTAGGGTTATTGCATAAGCTTCAATATATCTATAGGCATCAAACAGTTTTCTGTCATATAGAGTGAGATCATTTTTCTATCGTAAGCAATAATATACATTGTACATGTAAGATGTCAATACTTGAATTAAAGCCTAGGAGAAAAAAGAGTGATTAGAAGTAGTTTAACGTGTCATTAAACATATATGACAAAACAAAGTTCACATGTATATTGCACATTACATAAATAAACATTGAATTTACACAAAAGTCAACATTGATTTGGATTCAAATTCTGAAGTTCATTCAAATCTTGTCTTCTAGTTGGACACAGTGTTTCTCTGATATCAGATATTAATAGACAAAATGTTGACCTCAGATCATGGTTCATAATTAAATACATTGGCAAATATAATGAATAACTAACAATCATAGCAAAATGTATACATATAGGAAAAGAATTTGGGGGAGAAATCAGTGATGAGTCTTCGACATTAGAACCAGAGAATATATAAAAAGTCAACGGCCATTCTACACTTAACGTTAAAAGTAAAAGTCCAATAGATTGACACTCTTGTAATGTGTATTTCCAGTTCCTTTGTAAATTTTCTGGATTGTTAATAAGGACTCTTTTTTGTTCGAAATACATCCTCATATTAGCATAAATAAGAATTATAGTTATCATGGACAAAAGCACACAGGGAATAAGTTGCACCACAATAGCATAAAACCAGACATAAAATTCTTCATACTTCATACTATTGAATTCATCTCTGTATTGAAAATCACAAGGAATTGCTTCTTGGCTGACAAAGTCAAACAATTTATAAAAATGAACAAGAAAAGAACAAACAAATATAAGAATGGTTAATTTGATAAATCGGTTGATTTTGTACCATTTTAATGCTTTAAATGGATGTAGTAAACACTGAAAACGCTGTATTCCATAAAATATAATCTGCCATAAACTGGCCGTGTGAAATATGGCGGGTAGAACATATCCCATGATTCTGTAGGTATTACACCAACCAATGGTAGCAGGTTCTAACAGATCATCCTTGGCAAAGAAGTAAATGAAGACAGGATACTGACACAGCACCAGTAACGTGTTAGATATTACAATCCCAGTTTTCTGTACACTTGTTGCTGTTCTATGGTCTGTCACATAGTTACATAACACAATATAAACAATGTTAAAACAAAATATAACTGATATAATCACTGGAGCAGGTACGCTATACAGGTATCTAACTAGTTCTAAATCATAGTCTGTCGAAAATGTTCCATTCATAAAAGGGGGTAATCCAAGTACACTTTCTTTCATTTTAATTGTAAAGTTATATTGCAGTAGTCTGTTTTACTTTGTTAGATTAAATATCACTGCTCAATTGAACCTTGAAACAATTAAATATCCTCTGCATTATATAATTAGGATATTGTGTTTTGATTGAAGAATTAGTCTGTATTAGATATCATCAAATTGACATGATTAATGCAGGATAAATTAAATATCCTTCATTATACATAATGCAGTGATCCATGGTGCATTATATATGATATGATATGTGTTATGTTGTCTTTGAATGATCTCATTATCGTATATAACTCTAGATCTAAAAATAGCTTACACTGTGAGAATAAATGTGTATTGAATCGATGCCAGACAAATACTTCTTACTGTTATATGGAAGTACGATTTAATCAATAATCCAGTACTATGGTTAACAAGCCATAGTTTCCTAATTGTCTAATCCACAAATTGTCTCTTTCTGTTGAAAATACAAAAATACACAGGGTATATAAATATTTATACTTTAAATGACAAATTATATTGTATATTTGAAGTATTTGGAATATACAATTTAAGTCTCAATGGCACCTTATTGTCTTATTCATTCATCTTGTCAGATCATGATACCTGAGTTAACTATATATTGTACTGTACTTGTGTTTGATATTTAAATATAAAACAACAAAGTTACTGTAATGGGATAATTTATATTTGTCTTCCAAATGTCAAGGTTGCTTTTAGTAGTTATAGTACATGTATAGTAGTAAAAGTAGTGGTTCTGTTATTTTTTATGAAAGTCCCTTTGAAATTGCATAAGATAAGATGCATTTCAGTTAATATTTAGTGGATATCAATCAGTATTTTCCCTAAACAACTCTCATATCATTGGTTTGTAGGAATATGGAGTATTCAAATATTCCTGTGTTTAATTATATAAAACTCCTTTAAGGTGCTTTATTTATAGATTCATGTGCGTAAAAGAAAAGATCATAAAATATTATATATCTATTTTAACCCCCACCTACGATAATAAATCAGCATTATGTTTTCTTGTCCTTCAATCCATTTGTCCGTTTGTCTGCAGTCCCTATCAGGTTAAAGTTTTTGGTAAGGTAGTTTACTATGAGGGTGTGGTACGTCACATAACCTTGAAACTTAGAACACATGTTCATATGTGATAGCAGGAAATTAGAACATTCTCAGGTTAAAGATTTTGGTTAAGGTAGTTTACGAGGAAGATTTGGTCACATCAACTTCAAACTTTGTACATGTTCATTGAGACGTGAACTTTTAAAATTATATAGTAAAAATTTGGAATCAGATTTCATAGTTTATTGAACATGGACATAGGATATTGGTAGCGGGGGTCTTATGGACACATATTCTTGTTATTTTTTGTTTGTTATGATTATTTAACAGAATAGTTTATAGTCATTGTATAATTCATAGTATACCTGCAGAGAATTAGGCAAGCATTGAAACAGTAAATATAACAGAAAGACAATTTTTGTAACCAGAATTCCAATGATGTTTACATTTCTATGAATTTGAATGAAAAGAAAATTGAGTGTTTTTTTTTTTTATTTCAGAGAAAGTGAAATGATTTACCCAGTACTACAAGCAGTGTTTGAGAGAACTGGTATTAAAGACAAAATGTGTTTTGGTTTGTAATTTCTTTTTCTTTTTCATTATTTTCTCTTTTTCTTTTAATTTTTTTTCTCTTTTTTCTTTTCATTTCTTTTAAAAGTCTAATTCTGAGCATAGGACACCTCAATCTTATCACCAATTGTTATCTTATGCTGTGCTGTTGTGAGTATACATTGATTGGAATAGAATGATGAAGTAACAGAGTTTAAATAGTCTACTTGATAAATGATTTAAAGAAAAATCTGTTTCAACATACTAAATTATGTATTTCATTAGGATCAAAATATTAGATGTACTAGAAGATAACAAAATTTTGAACCTGTGCTAAAAAATATTTGTTCTATATCGAAAACAATTTTGTTTACATACTGAAAGTGGCACATGATCATATTTTGATTTAACTTTAACTTATTATAAAGAAAGCAATTAATTATTATACAAATCAATCCCAGAGCTGATTTTGGAGTTTTAAATATGTAAGAAATGAAATGGCATTTCAACATGTGATTGCAAATGAATAAAACCATTTGGTTACCATGGTTACATGATCTATCTGAACTTTCACTACCCAGTAACAAGTTAAAATTGTGCAATTTATATTTTTTACAAAATTTACTTTTGAAATGGCATGATGTTTCTGAAAAGGGTAAACATCAATTCTTTAAAAACTTAAAGCAATGGCCCAATAAAAAATGCCATTGCATTATGGGAAAGTATCAACATATTGAATGTACCTATTAAGCATTGTCAATGCATCTTTGAATAAATCAATAATAACAAATGTGTATAAAGCCAATCCTTTTTTGCAGAATTAAAAAAATCAGAAAACTTTTGATTTATAAGCATTTTATATATTTACAGCAATATGTTATGAGTGTATACAGACAAGTACATCAATATATCCTAACCAAGAATTACTTCAGGCAGCCACTCAGGCTGTAGGAAATTTCCTAAGAGCAAAAGATTTAACTCTAAAATATATTGGTAAGTGATGTTAAAAATATTATATCATCAAATGTTTCAATGATGATCTGATACTACAATATTCAATCAGTAAATTAATGGAAAAGTTTGTGAACTACAATTTATCAAAGTCCTATATCAGGATAAAGTTTTGGTTTAAGATAGTTTACCCTGAAGTTGTGGTCATACACATCAACTTGAAACTTAGTAGAAATGTTCATTATGATGTGAATTTTTATTTGAATAAATGCCAAAATTAGAGTTTTGAGAGACTTTTTACCCATATTTCATGGTTCATTCCTATGGACACATTCATTCTTGTTTAAAATTATGGTTGGAAATACTTATATATAAAATAAGGAGATGTGGTATGCTTGTCTATGAGACAACTATCCAACATAGTCCAAATAAAGTGGATATAGGTTGCATTTCTGTAAATATCGACAATGCAATTTCCCATAGGAACTCCTTTTACTGCTAAAACTGTACCACTTTTACTATGAAGTTTTGAAAAAAATTATATCCTAGAATGGAAAGTTCATATGCACTTCTATCTTTTTCAAAGGTCAAAATATAGGGCTGTATGGCATATTTTCAACATTTATATGCCCTGAACTTCTAAGAGTTTAAACTTACACTAAAATTCTGTACTACCCCTACCTTGACTTAAGGTCTTCCACAGATTTCAATTTGACTGCTATGCATGTGTATATTTACTGGTAACATTCCCAAGTTATGTGTCTAAGAAATGAAACATAGAGATCATATCTGGGAACCAGTACGTAAACAAAACAAAATATCTATGAATATTATATATCTCCCCTAAAGAGGCGTGGTTTGTGAAACAGCTGTATTTACAAAGTGCAACCTTTAAGCACTATAGGTCACTGAATATGCATATTTGCCCAAATACCATTTATTTGGTAATTTTGAAGGAAGCTGACAAACATTATGCAGTAAACTTCAAAGGTATTTGCATTTAATATTTAATTCACAGGAATAAAGGCTTTAACTGGTTTGGTCAGAGTCAGTCAGGAGTTTGCATTACAATATCAAATTATAGTTGTAGAACTTTTAGATGATCCAGATGAAACTGTCCAAAGAAAAGTAAGTTTTTACATTTTCGCTGTTTTCTTAAATTTTACTTTGATCTTTTTATAAAGTTTTACCCTTGCCTGCCTGTATGTCTGTATTTCCCAAAATTTGAGTTGGCCTATACCAAATGTTATGAAACTTACACACAGTGCTCATTACCACCAAACACAGATCAAGTTCAATTTGGGTGGCGTCACTTTCACTGTTCTAGAGTTATGTCCCTTTATAAATGGAAAAATTGCAAAATTTGCTGTTTCTGTTCTCTAACTTTAGTTTGCCTCAACCAAATATTAAAAAACGCTTACACAGTACTAATTACCTCCAAACACAGATCAAGTTTGGATGGCGTCACTTTCTCCGTTCTCATGTTAATTATGTCCCTTTGTAAATTGAAAAAATTCTGAATTTGCCGCATATTTACAAGCGGGGGCTACTGTGTCCCATGGACTCATTCTTCATTTATTTTGTAATTTTCCATATCATGCTACTCAACTGGGAATTGTTTATTTTCATCAGTGAGAACACAATCATGTTATAAGCTAAGGTAATTGACTTTGCATAAGAAAATAGTGATAAACAGATTATCAGTGATCTTTCAAACACGAGGATGTTTCTTGGCTACATCTCATCTCAGGGCTGTCATCCTTCAATGAAATTGCAGCCAAGAAACTCCTTCTTGATTGAAAAACCATGAAAGTGTAGCTGATAACAAATTTAAGCTTGTATTTGATTTTACCAAGTACAATTGCTCATAAAATGTACACCTTGGCATTGAATTACCAGTACCAATGCTTAGAACTGTTTCTTCAAAATGATTGTTTCAAATCTAGTTGAAAAAAATACAGAATTCAAGATTGTCTCTGAAACAAAAGCATATATCCCTTTTCCTCCTTTTTAAAGAAGAAGATAAAACAAAAATATCTGAACAGCACAAAAGTTCACCTCTATGAAGAAATTCTGTCTACTTTCACTTCATCTCAATCAATGGAATGTAAAGTACAGGAAATTTTTGTTGACAAACTTCCCCATATTTTAGAAATTGCAAAGTCTTCTATGATTTGCAATTAGAAAACTAAAGATAACTCTGATGAAAGATAGAATAAGAATCATAGCTACACATATTATAAAGTAATCCTGTCAAGTTTTGGTTTCATTCTAATGTTTAGATATATACCTGATATAGGAGATTTTGTGTTAACAAGGAACATAATTATTCAAATTTAGAAATATTTATTTTGATTATTTTAATGAAAAAATGTAATGACAACTGAATTTTCAGAAACAACAATATACTACTTGCTAGACATTAAAATTGTTTGTATTTCATTTTAAAAGTCCTCTGTCCCTGTTTGATGCTTGATCAGGTATAAACAATCCTTAATTCTATAAATTACAGTGTTAACACAAGAAGTCTATTATATAAGTTAATAGAACTTTTTGCTTGTTTCCTGGTGCCAAGCTATTAGTTTCATATGATATTCACACCATCTTGAAATTTTTACGTAACAAATATCGGTTCTCACTGGTTTCCTCATGATTTGTGAAAGATTCTATTAGCTAGAATGAAACATAGAATTGGAAACAAGTCCCGAATAGAAGATATTAAATAAGGGAAAAATACAGTGTGGGTATTAAAGATCTGACCCAATAACTTATCAATGAATAATTTGGCCTTTACTGGTTCCCCTTGCTATATAATATAGCATCAAATTCACATTGATAAATTGCTACATGTTGAAGTAATTCATGATATTGGGAAGCACTCCTTACCTTTTTAGAAAGGTTAAACTTGTACTTTTTAATGTCATTTAAATAGGTAAGAGCAAACTGCAAGGTATTTACAAAATATTCAACCAGTGAACTGAAAATGTACTAATACAACATTAAACAATTACCAGTTTATGAATGATAATTATATAAGTGAACTTGTATGTATTTTCAGACACTGGCCCTACTATACAACATGACAAACTCTGTTAATGTACAACCAGTATGTGATAAACTCTTACAACATATGATCAACAGTAGTGATCCATTCCATAAAGAAGATTTATTACACAAAATTGTAGAACTTACTCAGAAGTATCCTTTATAAAGTATCGAAGACCTGCTACTTTCAATATTACCAGTACTCCAATCAGTATATGCTAATAATATACTCCTTCTTTGATATTGCTTCACAAAACAAATTAAAGAAAACACTTTCATTGCTGAGAGATTATTTTTTCTTTAAATTCAATTATATCATTTCTATTATCAAATTAAAGACAATGATTATATCAAAAGATTGAGACTCCCAATCTTTCATGTTGCTAGGCAAAACCAGAATCAAATTTAGAGAAAAGAACTCATTGATTTAAGAAAGTGAATTTTTTCTGTAAATTTAGTTTATGTGGGTTTATTATACAAATGTTTTCAGCCCTTAACAACAAATAGATTTTTTAAGCCAGAAGTTTGGTTTGTGGATATTCTGTTTAAAGTTTTGCAAATCTGTCCCAGTTCTTCGTCGTCAATGGTAATGAATAAAGTAATTGCGACATTAAGGAAAGGTATGTATACATGTGTTCTAAATATGTCAACTCATTAAAACCCTTCGGTGGTCATGTGGTAGCATGGCTTCCTCAAATGTGGGAGGTCGTGGGTTCCACCGCCTGCCAAATCAAACCAAAGACTTTAAAATTGGTATTTGCTGCTTCTTTACTAAGCACACAGCATTTAAGGGTAAGAGCAAAGACTGGTCAGCTCGAGTTAGAATAATCAGTCTAGGTAGGGTGACAGGTCTTCCTCCTGTTGCCTTGTGAACTAGCACGTTAAAAAATCCTACTCAGAGTGTTGGTTTAGTATACAGCAGGGTCTATATTCTTATCATATCATCATGTTCTTGTCCTGGACTTTAAACAATCATCCATCCATCCATCAATTCATCATTTTTTGCAGTGTAATAGCTTTTAAAAATATTGTGAGGACCGACAACTTCATTCTGTGAAATGCATTACTTTGCATTATTTGTTTTTAAAGGAATTGTATATTTATATTAATATACAATAGAATCTTTTAAAATTTTCAGTAAAGAGAATTAAATGTGTATAAATTAAAACTCAATTTTGAATACAAAGGTCAGTAACAATATGAAAATATTTAAGTCTCCCAAACGAAGTTTGGGAAGACTTATTGTTTTTGCTCAGTTATTATTATTATTCTTCTTCTTCTTCTTCTTCTTCTTCTTCTTCTTCTTCTTCCGCCGCTTTTAAATTTGAACTTGTCTGCACCCGTTCTCCAAAACCGCTTGTCAGATTAACTTAGGGTTTCACAATATGTTAGACTAACATGTCTAGTGGTGCAATCAGGGTTTTGTTTGTGCAATTGGGTTTATAAAGGGGTACTTTGAGGGGCAAAAAGAAAAGAGGGTTTTACTATAGAACCCTATGGGATTTTATTTTTTTAAATTTTCAAATGATTATAAATTGAAAACCGTTTGTGATAGACACAATCTTTTTAATTGAAAATTTTCTAAATGATAAAGCCCATTACATGAAATACAGGGTTAGTCCCCAGGGGTCACCCCCACCCCCTGCCATTTAAGAAAGTTCTAACACCTTGTAAGTGGTCAAGATCCCCACCCCTAAACCATATATATTTAGGTTTGTTATGCTAAGATGGTTTGAATGATATACAGGGTTAGTCCCCAGGGGTCATCCCGACCCCCTGCCATTTGAGAAAGTTCTTATATCTTGTAAATGGTCAAGATCCCTACCCCTAAACCATATATATTCCTATTTGTCATGATAAAGCACATCAAATGAAATACAGGGTTAGTCCCCAGGGGTAACCCCCACCCCCTGCCATTTAAGAAAGTTCTAATATCTTCTAAGTGGTCAAGATCCCCACCCCTAAACCATATATATTCTGGTTTGTCATGCGAAGATGGTTTGAATGATATACAGGGTTAGTCCCCAGGGGTCATCCCGACCCCCTGCCATTTGAGAAAGTTCTAATATCTTGTAAATGGTTGAGATCCCCACCCCTAAACCATATATATTCCTATTTGTCATGTCTTGAACATTTGAATGACATATAAGGTCAGTCCCCAGGGGTTCCTCCCCACCCCCAATGTTCTAGTATCTTGTAAATGGTCGAGATCCCCACCCCTAAACCATATATATTCTGGTTTGTCATGCCAAGATGATTTGAATGATATACAAGGTTAGTCCTCAGGCATCACTAATGCATATAACTTTACTGGACCAAACCAATTTTCACTGGACGTTGCCCAATGTCAGGCGACCCTAGGACTTACGAATAATGGGAGCTTCGTTTGGGAGACTTCGTAACAGCATCCTGTTACAATCATTTCTTGTTTAGTTAGACATTATTTAGATTAATTGCTTTCATGGAATATATATAGAAAATTGAGGGAACTCAATCTTGTTTTCATGCTGTTTTTACAAATGTATCATAATTTATGAAATAATAATTTAGTTACTTACAACTTAATCATGAGAAACACTTTCAAAAAAGATATATTTATGTCCAGTTCTTAAATGAACCCAATCTCTGTATGTTATATGGGTACAAACCACACCTGTCTGCCAGCGATTTAGCAATTCTATAACAGTGTTTTTAACTTGTTTTATTTTACTGATACTTTTATGAATGCAAAAATATGCCTCTCTTAATAAAGCAGTCCAGCAAAAACATTAATATTGATATAATTTTCATCAACATGACAGGGTATAGAGAGACTGATTTGTTATATCTGCTTTTAGGAATAACAAGGAACACAGAATTTTGTCAACATTTAGTAAAGAAATCTGTTGAATGTTTGTTCAGGGAAGATTTACTTGAAGATATGGTGAAACTTGCATCCTGGGTAATGCTTACCTATAATTGTTTGATCTTTGAAATTTCTTATTTACATATCAAATGTAATTGATTGAGTTACAATTTAAGCTTTATGGTCAAGATTGGAGTCAACATTTTTATACCCCCGCCGTAGCAGAGGGGGCATTAAGTTTTACCCTTGTCTGTCTGTATGTACGTCCCAAAGTTGGTTTCCGTTCTCTTAGTTAAGTTTGCCTGAAACAAATGTTATGAAACTTATAAACAATGCTTATTACCACATAATACAGATCAAGTTCGAAATTGGGGGGCCTCACTTTTACCGTTCTAGAGTTATGCCCCTTTATAAACATAAAAATTGCTGAATTTTTCGTTTCCATTCTCTAACTTTAGTTTGCCTCAACCAAATATGATGAAACTTATACACAATGCTTATAACCACTTATTACAGATCAAGTTTGAAATTGGTTGGTGTCTCTTTTACCGTTCTTGAGTTATGCCCCTTTATAAACATAAAAATGGCTGAATTTTTACTTTCCGTTCTCTAACTTTAGTTTGCCTCAACCAAATGTGATGAAACTTATTCAAAATGCTTATTACAACAAAACTCAGATCAAGTTCAAAATTGGGTAGCGTCACTTTGACTGTTCTTCAGTTATGTCCCTTTATATCTTTATATGATATTCAAGCGGGGGCATCATCTGTGTCCCATGGACACATTCCACATTTATTTACTCAGCAAACAGTACAGCCACCAAAGCCATAGTCCAAATAATTATGACGTCATGAAAGGCTATTTAATTTTTTTGCTGTGATGCCTTCCTACAAAATCATAACGCTGAAGACATTTTTTCAGTTGGACTTTGAGAGAGAATTTCGTTCTCAACTTTGAGAACCAATTTTGACATGAAATCTCACTTACAGCTAGAAATTTAGGCATACATATAAATTCTTACCTTTAGTGTTGCTGTTGGTGTAAAATATTTCCAGCAATACCAAAAGTAATGATTCAATAGGAGGATGACCTTCTGCTGTTTTAAAATGGTTTCCCTGATTTCCTAAGATGCTTCACTTTCGGAGTGTAAAAAATAAATTTTCTCACTGCACTCAGTAAAATTTGATAGACCCAAATTTCCAGATAATATAAATTAAACATTCTGGAAATTCGGGTCTGTCAAATTTTACTGAGTTTGGTGCGAAAATTTATTTTATACTCTCCGAAAGTGAAGCATCTTGGGAAATCAGGTAATTGTTTTAAAAAAGCAGTAGGTTATCTATCGTCCACCTCTGATGGAATTATAACTTATTTTATCATTACTTTAGGAAATTATTGAAACTTTTTTGCACCAACAATTGCAGAAAAGGTAAGAATTTGTATATATGCAAAAATTTCTAGCAGTCAGTGAAGATTTCATGGGAAAATTGGGTATCAAAGTTGAGAAGAAAGTCCAACCAAAAAAAAATGGCTTCAGCGTTATGACGTCGTAGGAAGGCATCACAGCAAAAATTAAAATAGCCTTTCAAGACGTCATAATTATTTGGACTACCAAATCCATAGCAAGGTTTAGCTGTAAGATTATAAACTAAACTTCCATGTTTGTGTTGTTAATTAAATCAGAAATGACAATAGGAAATATTATCAAATACAAAATATAGCATTTAAAAAAATACATGTCGATATTTATTCTCAATAGCCTTTATTATTAAATTGTACTTATTTTGCTGTTCACCCGTAAATTAAAAATATGCATATTTTCCATCTTGAAATAGCTCATATCTTTACCACAAACAATAAAAATCCTGTTCTCATCCTCCTGAAATATTTTGATTTTAGTCAAACAGAAATCACCCATCCTAATGGTTCCAATAAAAATCCTGCCTTCTTCAATTTAGAAAAAAATGAGAATCTTTGAGTATTAGGAGTTGTCGATGAAAAGCAGTTTAAAAGCAATTAATATTATGTTGTTATTTGAAAAACATATTTGAAATACAGTATAAAAAATATTTATTTCACAGATAATTGGACAGGAAGCGGAATTACTCAAAAATATGCCAAAAGATAAACTTATGGCTTTGTTTACAAAGCAGTTGTCAAGACAACATATTACTGTCATGACTAAATTGTGGCTTACAAATGCATTGATGAATCTTGTTACTTCAAACATATTGATGACTGATACAATAGCAGAACCTGTAGAACAACTATTGAAAACAGTGAATGATGTTATAATTGTAGAGGTATGTTAAATCTATACTTATACCTATATAGTATTTTTATATAATTATATTATTACATTTTAATGTCTGTTGCATCTTGAAATAGCTAAAAGTAATTTCAAAGAGTAAAAGTTTTAAAGAGTAAAAGTGATATTACAGTCTGATAAGTTTGTTATCCTTTGCTTGGCAGATCAGTTAGCTGCCTGCTTGAATTTTATACACTTATGACATAACCCAAGTGAATTGGTTACAACTGAGTCCTGTTTATTTGGTAATTATGAAATCTAAAATGAAAATTAGGGCAGATTGATTATTTTTTGTAAAATTTATTTTTATATTACAATGTATTTACTTGGAAATGTGAAAATATAGAATATCAGCATTGTAAGGGCCCTGACAATACATATATTTCTCATTACAATTTGAGATTTAAAGATTGCAAAAAAACATTTTATTTCGCCGTAGGTGACAATAGTAGCCTTTTCAAGATACAGACTTTAGAAAGTTGATTTTTAGAATGAAATGTTGATAGAATTAAAGAAAAACTATTTGGACAGTATTTTTTAGTAAAAAAAATATAGGTTCCCTTTGCTTTTCTTAACGTAATTTTTACTTATCTCCCTTGCCTATCAATTCTGCACTTAAAACAGGTGTCACAGCACAATAAAGACTTCACAGTTCTGTTAGGGTTAAGGAAAATATATTATTTTGCCTTTGGTATAATGCAGAGTGCACGAAGTGTCTAGCAATAAAAAATACCAGCTGCACACATTGACCAATCAGGATTAGCAATACTCTTAATAGCCTGGGGTCCTGGCTAATCTGTCAGTATAGCCAGGCGTGTATCAATGTCCTGCCTGTCAATGATTGGTTAATACTAATTTTGTCGCGCAATGTTTGTTTTACATCTGTATCCAATCAATTTTTGTTTAACATCAATTAGTAAAAATTAGACTGTATTTATTTTTCTTTATGAATTGATGTAGTGTTATCATATCTAATTATTAGTATGATGATAATTAGTAAGCAGAAAAGGGTTAATTCTTATCAGTAATCAACTGGTGAGAAAGTTAAAAGTTTAAGATTTCACATGACCAAGGTGTGAATTGGATTTCACTTTTACGACCTAATTTACATGTATACATGTATCTCAAAGGACAAAATATATATGGAAAAAAACCATAAAAAGTAAAGGCCAACAAAAATTGCAGTTATTTTTTTTTGGGGGGGGGGGGGGGGTACATTTCAAATGATGTGTACATGTGTGAAGATACACCATCGTACATCTATTTTAAATTATAATTACATTAGACAATTACAATATTTATTAAATTTGATTTTTATAAATAAAGAGTTGTTTCGTTGACTCTTACCCCATATAATCCTTCCTGATAAAATATATATTAAATGTACAACATTTTTCAAAGTTTCTTTTGATAACATATACTAGTATTTATTTATACTGTTTGATATATGCTTATTTTATTATATTACTGACAATGGGGACTCGTCAATCTGAGAGCAAAATGTATTGAATCAGAAGCAATGTTTCTTAATCATTGGTTTGAAATCGCTGGTTTACATCAAACATCAAAATTTATGCAAATATTTATTCAACCTCACTTTAGATTCAGAGTCAATTGGCACTGAATCGATCACGTGGTATTTGTTCCCCACCTGGCCCTTGCGACGCGCAGCTAGATCGGGCCGGGATGCCAGGCTATACTCTTAATTCATTAAATGGCTGTCCTCATAATATTTAATGGTTGATTGAAAAATAAATGCTTAATACTTATGGATATTTTGGTGGGAGTTGTATGCCCCTTTGAAATGTAAATAATATTGAATATCAACATTGTAATCACTCTGGCACCTACATTTCTGATTGTATTTAAAAAAAAATATTTCAAAAGTTAACATCAACAATATCCTGTTGAATAGTCAGGAGTTGGAAAGTCAGTGTGCTTTGAATATTTATGGGGGATTGATATCCCATAGAAATTGTAATAATTTTGAAAATCAGCATGGATAGCCCTCACTCACCTACTTTTATTATTGGAGTTAAATGAATTTTATTCTAAAGTTTACTTCAGCAATAAATCAGATGAATTTGAGAATCAGCAGGACTTTACCATTTTTACAGGAGTTATGTCCTTTGAAATATAAGTGGGGGAGAAAATTCCAATATAATGGTGGGGACATTTACTACAGTACATCTGTAGCAATCTTTTAAGATATTTTTGGGGAATATATTACGCAATGGCTTTATATGCCTGATTATTATTATCTTTATTATTTATTAATTAATATTTCTTAATTATTTTTTGAACAGAAATTGCAAGAGTTAGTAAGAATAAGTCAGTTGAAGCCTGAAATATCAAAACCAAAGATTGAAAAGGTTTGTTTTCTTTAGAGCAGTTGTAAATGTAAATAATTACTTTCTAGCAAATTAGGTCTGTTCTAACATAATCTATTTCATACCATGTTTTCTATTCCTTTTTTTATTTTAATTGTATATACTGAATATCAGTTATCAAAGGTAGATAACCCTGTGATAACTACATTTATCAACCATTTGTAGTTGGCATTAAATTACTTGTAGTAATCCAGAAATTCAAAAACCATATTAATCAATGGTATTTTTATTCAATCAATTTAAAATGTATGACTTGCAAAATTCATGTGCATAACTTAACAGGAAGATGAAAGAAATGAATTGTAAGTGTCTTGTACTAAGGTCAGAGATTAAGGTCAACTTGAAGTAACATATAAAAGAATTTAGACTGTAGAATACTAGTCTGAAAGTAAATCACCATTTAACATTGTTAGTACACCTTAATAGAACTCTGCTCATCTACTTTGGCAAAGAACTTGATAATTTAATTTTGGAGGTCATATGTTAAAGTCACCTGTTATAAAAGATTAAAATTACTGAAAAAAGTGATAACATTTTTGACTGACTTTGTTATTAAGATAACTTCAGGAAAAAATATCCACTGAAGGTCTTTAAAAAAAACCTGAATCTGGGAAAAATCAATCTCATAGAAAAAAAGAGGAAAATAGAATCAGGAACAGGATTATGCTAGAATTTGAACAATTTTTAAAAACTCTGCCAAAAATTACAGTTTGTGGCATTGCAAGGAGGTTCTCTGCTTTGTAGTGCTCCTGTTTCAAATATTCAGTTTGTTAAAAAAATACAACAGTCTATAATTGGCTTAAATTGTTTTAGATGGACTTTACTTTGTCTTTTCTGGATAACTATGTGTCAAAGTCTGTAAAGAATGGAGCCCAACCCTATAGACCTAAAAATATGAGATCTAAACAGACACAACAAGAACAAGGTATTTTCAAATTAATGTAGAAACTGTATTGTATTTGAATACATGTTCTGATGGATCCTTGATTTTATGACTTTCTCATAATTATAATAGACAAAAAATGTGATGGCCCAAGACAAAACAAGACAAAAAATGTGATGGCCCAAGACAAAAAAAAGAAAGACATGATACAAATTTGTCCAGAGGATAATTTATTGTTTATATTTGTAAGTTACTTCCCTTTTTAGATGAAGAATGAAGTTTTCTTGAGAAGCTATAACTAAAGCATTGTAATATGTTTCTGATGATTATTGGGTTCTAAAAATAGAATTGTATGATTTATAGATTTTTTCATATTTCAAAGGGGAAAAAAATTAGCTTATTTTCTGTATAAGCCATTTCCTTCATTTTTGTGACAATTTTTGAAGCAAAGGTTGAATTAAGTTGGCATATTTCAAAAAATAAAAGTGTGCCCTTCTTTTTCCATATTTTGTTTGTTATTTAAAATAGACATATTGTCCGTCTTTCAACAGGTATTTGCATTTCATTTCTGTGATGCTAGCAGCTACCCTAACTGTACAGACATTTTCCTACATTAGACTGTTGCCTTTCATTGACTCAAAACTTTGGATCAAAAAGTATTCCAGTAGTTAATTGTGTTATAGATCCAATCAAGTGTACTGATACTTTTTCTAGAAATGATATATTGCTAAAGTAGTATACTGCCATGGTTTATATTTATATTATGTTATTGATAATTAAGTAGTTTTTTTTGGTAAAGTGCTTTTGTATACAAAATAGAAGATTTATTTAATTGTATATATCTTATTTTCTATGGTAGGTGTGACAGAATTATTTAAAGGTATTCAAAATCAAGGAAAAATGGAAATTTTGAGTAGACTTGGAGAGGATGTAGCAAGCTCTGGTGGTACATCTTTCACTGCAAGGTTTGTAAATTATATACTTTTAAAATTTGATACAGAATTTTTACATTTAAAATGGTATGCTCTAGTTGATAAAAACATATTTTCAATGAAAGAACAGATTGCTGAAGAACATGTGTTTAACAACTACTAAACTAAACACAAGAAGGTTCCGACTTTGAAATTACTCCCTAAATTAAACATTGATCTTTTTTTCAAATTTTGCTTTATGTCTGCAAACAAGAAATACTTCTGTTCTGTTGGCTAGTGTTCTTGCAATTGAGAAGGAACTCATTACCAAAACACTTATTTGACTTGCAAAGAAATGAATTAAAACCATTATTTATTTGCTTGATATGTGTTTAGTTGCTTTTGGAGATAAGTTATATTGTCAAGTGATTGGTATTCCAATGAAGACTTACTGTGCCCCTCTTATTGCTGATTATAAACTTTATAATTAAAAAAAAAGTACCACTTGATACATATTTTCAATAATACCTGCAGATATTTAAGCAACACATTCTTTATAAACAAACAAGGCTTTTCTTCCTCATTTACTCTTACTAAATCTAACATAAAAATGATTACTGTCCTTCTTCAGACTTGGATTTAAAATTTCTCATAGTAATCTTAATACCATTGTCCAAAATTTATGACAGGTTGGATAACTTTTCTTTTCCTTGTTGATGATTTCCTATTTAGCACCTTGTTATAAATTGTACATTTAAGGTATGAGTTCAAATAAATTGGATTCTAATCTTGTTGCATGTTCACAAAAAATTCTAAATTGACAGTTTTCATTTCTTTTTAGTGATTCAGTATCCAAATTACCATCAGTGAAGAAGGTATGGGGAAAGGAAGGAAGAATTATAGATACTCAAGAAACAAAGAAAGATGAAGACGATCATATAACAGAAGAAGATAGAAATAGACAACAAATGGTGTCTGCTTTGTTTGGTGGCATAATGCCAGGACAGGTAAACAGCTTCCATATACACATAATCAAATGTCTAACAACTGCTTTATCCCGAAGAAAATCTTTATTATTTTATGATAGCACATTTTCATTTGGTCTCAACAATGATGAGGGGAACTAAGGGTGTATGAAAACTGAACTTGTGTGAACTTATGAACTTATGAATAAAATTAACATACAATCATGTGACTTAGTATAAGAATGTGCATAAGGAAGCATAACAGCTTTGACCAAGAGAAATCCCTCTGATTTTTGAAATTGGTTTTTCATGCTTCTTGACTTACTTCCAGTTTTGCATCTTAGATCACTTCTTTAAACTGAGTGATCTTACAATGATACAAATACAGATATGATGTTATAGGGAATTCAACTACATCCCATCAATAGAAGGTCAGAGGCCAAATGGTCTGAGTAGTTCATCTACAGTGACTACTAGCCTGTCAAACACACAGGTTGTGTATTCGAACCTTGCTAATTGAAGGGTGGGTTCAACTTTGATGTTACAATTGACTATAATTCCTAGTTTTCTTGCTGAAGGATGTTGGTTCTCTCCAGGTACCCCAGCTTCCTCCGCCGATAAAGACTGACCACAATGAAATAGCCAAAAGTACTGAAAGTACCATTAAACACTAACAATTAATCAATCAATCAATCAATCAATATATGTCAATTGTATCTTCATTTTCTGCTTTAGTGACTGAGTAAAGGAGGAACTAAGGGTTTTGCTAAATTTGTGTGCTTAGCTTTCAAATAAATAGTAACATGCAGTGGTATTAGGATGAATCTAAATTATTATAAAACCTTTCCTAGAAATAAAATCACTTTGACCTACATAATACTCTTCGATTATCATGTTATTATTTGTAGATATATTGCCTTTTGAAAGTTATGAAATCCTCCAACCAAATTGTGTTGATGTCGGCCTTGATCTCATAAAATGTAACCTACATCTCAGTCCTTGTGCATTGTAATTTAATTCTACTTCCATAACCATATTGCTGATTATACTGCACTAGATATTTCTTGGGGAACTAGGCAAATCTTGTAGTAGAGTATTACCAATGTTTGAAAGACATTCCATGACATTCTGATGCCTTTTGTTGGTAAACATGAAAAGGGAAAGTAATTCAGCACACTACAAAAACTAAAGTTTTCACCAACAATTGTGAAAAACATACAAAGAAAGCAAAAAACGAAATCAGGAAAATAATGTTATTAGAACTAATTTCCTAATGCTTGTAGAGCAAGACTTTGGATGGCTTGCTTGTTTTGTTTGTAAAAATGTTTGCTCAAGCATTGTAATTAAGATTGACATCTGAAAACAATATAAATAGGCGGAGTTAAACCTGTATACATTATACTTAAATTTAATTGGCTGTTATCCTGGAGGTTAGGAACACCCAATTTTACATGTAAACATTACAGGACAAATATTATTCACACATATTTAATAAGCTGGATTTTATAACATTACATTACTTATCATTCTTATTATTTGTAATTATTTCACCAGCAAGTAAAAAAGTCAAACTGAATGATTATTTGCTTGCCTATATATTCTTACCAATAATGAAAGCACCAAATATAATGTTTTAGATAAATAATTGTTTGTGAACAAATTTCGAGAAGGAAATAATTTTGATCTTTTGAAAAAAAAATCCTACACAAATTTGTATTTAGTATTGTATTGCAATCTTGACAATAATAATGTTCTCAGGCATGATTATGCTGAAATTTGCCTTTAATAGTTATTTTGCATTATTTATTAAAAATCATTGAAATCATCTTTAAGTCATTTATACATTTTTGGCAATGTATAGATATCTCATGAAACCACCAAAAGTAAGATGCCTAAAATATAGCTTGACAAGTTTTAGGAAGTAACGGTTTCAATCTTGAACCTATGAAAACTATCTGATTTCTTTCTTTGTTCAGTACACTTAAAAACAATACATTTATGTTGATAATTATATTAACCAATCATAGTGAAGCTACACCAAACTTTACAAGAGGGCCTGGATGGGGGTCCTTTATTTCTGTTTTCTTTAATTTTTATCAATGGAGGGGCAACAACGGGTGCCTGTCTAAACCCTATTAAATATTATGCAAACAGGCTGTATCAATTTCTCATTTAAATGATTATTTATGTAATATTAATAAATCCAGTTTATTAGATATATATATGTGTGTGAATAATATTTGTCATGTAATGTTTACATGTACAATTGGGTGTGCCTAACCTCCAGGATAACGTCCAATCAAATCGAAACATAATGTATATAGGTTTAACTACGCCTATCTATAATCTATATTGTTTGCTGATGTCAGTCTTAATTGCCTCTGCTTAATTAAATGCTTGAGCAAACGTTTATACAAACAAAGCAAGCAAGCAAACCAAAGTCTTACTCTTCAAGCATTAGGAAATTAGCTCTAAATATATATTTAGATATAATTTTAATTGATTATCACTCATTAATTGATAGAAATAACTTACAAATATCTGATTGTCATTTTATTCTTTGTTGAAGGTTGAAAAGACAGTAGAACAAGAACCTGATCCTTTTTTCACAGAAGAGGACAATTTTGATATCAAAAGTGCACAGCCATCAACAAATTTGGATACTGGAGGATGGAGACAACTTCATCAGTCATCAGGTGACCCAAATTCACCTAATAAAACAATTTCTAGTGAATATGGTAAACTAGTGGATGATTTAAGCCTCAGTGAAACTCAGTTTTCTGAAAATTATACAGGAGAACCATTTGTTGCAGAGCAGACTCTTTCTAAGCATCATATTGATAATGATTCTTTTGATAAACATTTAAGTGATACAGACTTATTACCATCTGGAGGTGGAGGGAGTCTGTATGAGGATTTTGTAGGAGATGTCAAAAACAAAGATGAAAAGTCAATATACTCAGATTCCTTGCAAACATTATATGATGATGATAGTGTATCATGATGCCTAAAATAAAAGATATTTTATTCATTAAAAGATTTATTTATGATATAAGGTAATTATTTTTAGAGGTAAAGACCAGAAAAATGCAAGCTTTTATAATGCTACTGTCACAGCTTTTCCAGGAGATAATGCTTTTTAGTGTCAGTTGTTAAGATCCTCCTTTTTTCAGATTTTTGTGTAACAATTTCTGCATTCATACATGTGATAGACTAAAACTCAGATCAGGAGATAGGGAAATTTTTATAGAGTTTAGACCTCAGATCATGAGATATGGCATTTTTTTTGTCGTAAATGTACCGGTAACCGTCTGATTTAAAAATTGTCTTTTTGTGTGTTTTTTACCTTCAATCTTCCTTCTGAGTGTAATACATTAATGTGTTTACAGTACCCTTGTAGCATGTCTATTTGAATGGTATCAGTTGAAAGAATAATTTAGAAGATTTTGTTCTGTTTTTTGCTGTTGATTGTTGATTGTTGACTGCTTGTGAATAAAGTACTATGATTTAACCTTACCTTTTAGTACAAAGAAAAACTTACAGCATAGTGTTTTATTCATGTCTCCTTTTTTTTTTGTATTCAATGTCATTGGATTACATATATAAGAAAGAAATATGCTATACATTTATAACATGATAAATAGATGAAAAATTAACAAACAAACACAATAGTGATGAATGATTTTTATACGACAGCAAACAAATTTTTGTGGTCGTATATTGGTATGACGTTGGCGTCGTCGTCGTCCGAAAACACATTAGTTTTCGCACTCTAACTTTAGTTTAAGTGAATGGATCTCAATGAAATTTTACCATAAGGTTCAATACCACTAAAGGAAGGTGGGGATTGATTTTGGGGGTTATGGTTAAGGAATTAGGGGCCAAAAAGGGGCCAAAAATAAGCATTTTTGTAACTTCCAGACATAACTTGTGTGTAAGTGTATGGATCTCTCTGACATTGTACCACAAGGTTCCATATCACAAAGGGAATGTTGGGATTGATTTTGGGGGTAATTCCTTCCAAATTTTAGGAATTAGGGGCCAAAAATGGGCAAAAAACCAGCATTTTTCTAATTTCATGACAATAACTTGTGTGTAAGTCTATGGATCTCTCTGACATTGTATCACAAGGTTCCATATCACAAAGGGAATGCTGGGATTGATTTTGGGGGTAATTGCCTCCAAATTTTAGGAATTAGGGGCCAAAAAACAAGCATTTTTCTAGTTTCATGACAATAACTTGTGTGTAAGTGTATGGATCTTTATGAAATTGTACTACAAGGTTCCATATCACAAAGGGAAAGCTGGAATTGATTTTAGGGGTAATTGCCTCCAAATTTTAGGAATTAGGGGCCAAAAAGGGGCAAAAAACAAGCATTTTTCAAGTTTCATGACAATAGCTTGTGTGTAAGTGTATGGATCTTTATGAAATTGTACTACAAGGTTCCATATCACAAAGGGAAAGCTGGAATTGAGTTTGGGGGTAATTGCCCAAAAATTTTAGGAATAAGGGGCCAAAAAGGGGCAAAAAATAAGCATTTTTCTAGTTTCCAGACAATAACTTGTGTTCAAGTGTATGGACCTCTCTGAATTGAAGTGCAAGGTACCATACCACAAAGGGAAGGCTGGGATTGATTTTGGGGGTAATTCCCTCAAAATTGTAGTAATTAGGGGCCATAAAAGGGCAAAAAAACAAGCATTTTTTCTAGTTTCAGGACAATAACTTGTGTGTAAGTGTATGGATCTTTATGAAATTGTACTGTAAGGTTCCATATCACAAAGGGAAAGCTGGGTTTGAGTTTGGGGGTAATTGCCCTAAACGTTTAGAAATTTGGGGCCAAAAAGGGGCCAAAAAACAAGCATTTTTCTAGTTTCCAGACAATAACTTGTGTTCAAGTGTATGGATCTCTCTGAAATTGTACTGCAAGGTACCATACCACAAAGGGAAGGCTGGGATTGAGTTTGGGGTGTTGAATCATAAGGGGGTTCAAAAAATTTGGGGGGGATTTTTTTTTCCTTTTTTTTCTTTAAAATTTTCCATTTTAAATTGGTTATTTCTGATTTATATATAAAAGCAAATAATAATGATATGGTTTGAATAGGTAAATTAAAATTTTTTAAGTTCTTAGACAACTTTCATTCTGTGTCAGAAACCTATGCTGTGTCAAATATTTAATTACAATCCAAATTCAGTGCTGTATTAAGCTTGAATGTTGTGTCCATACTTGCCCCAACTGTTCAGGGTTCGACCTCTGCGGTCGTATCAAGCTGCGCCCCAGCGGAGCATTTTATTAATCATTAATAAAGTCATTTTGCTAGAAAACTGAACATAACCATTGTTTCAACCACTGTCAAAATGTATGAGCTAATGCAATGTCTCTATTACATTGACATTGTTATTCAATAAATAAAGTACTGGTCTTGGAACACTCTTGTCATGTAAGAAGTACAAGCTGACATTGCTGCCTATAATAAACTTTGTTCTGTACAGATGGTGTAATTGTTAATCTTAACACTGTGGATTGTCTTTGAGTCAAGGTTGTCCCTGCTGTCAGTTTGTATCTTCATAAGCATGCTGAAAGTCTTGTTAATGAAGGACCAAAAACAGAAAAGACAAAAAAGAAAAAGGCTAGTCAAGAAAATACAAAATGTTTAGTATTAAGATAAAGCATGCATTTAAAAATAAGACCTTGATTGATCTTGTTATCTAGGTAGCAGTTAATGTCCCAGCATTTAATAAACTAAAAATTTGGCAATTATCATTTTATCTGAGTGTCCAACCTTTACTAAACTTAGCTTGATAATGTTCCTTGGAACAAAAACAAGATCCCCATTGCATTTCTAGTGAGTAGGTCAAAGGGTAAGATCACGGTGTAAATAAATACATTGAAATATTTAGGATGAGTTTTATTTCCAAACAATGTCTTTTGATGACCCAGATCTTTACCAATAATGGTTTTATATTGAACCATTGAACCATTGAATCAACCTTATCCAAACATGGTTTTAAAAAGTCCTTTTGAAGAAACAAAATTGAAAAAGGTTGAGTATCAAGGTTACATTGCCTAAAATTGATTTTTTTTAAAGTCTTGTTTCTGGACAATATCTTTTCAGCCATATTTCGAAAACTTACTAATGCGTCTTAAAAGCAAAAAAGAACCCTTGTGATATTGATGTCACTGGGTTAGAGGTCAAGGCCACAGTGGCAATTAATAATACATAAAGTTGGCATATTTTGGGAACAGATCATATATGTATTTAATGCAAGACATATTTGATAATGTCTTTGAAAAGACCACTATTTGTTTTTGAGGTCACAAAGTTGAAGGACAGGATCAGAAAGAAATGGCCAGTTGAAATTTGGGAAAAATTGTAGTTTGCTTGTGATTTCTTTTTAACCACATGTTCAACCTTCACCAAAATGTTCTTTCAAAAGAACAAGATCCTTGCTGATATTAGGATAAGTAAGTCAAGGGTTTTTACGCAATGTCTATGAATAGACTGAAATGTTTGGAAAAGTTTTAATTCAGGACAAATAGGTCTTGGTCACACCAGCAATACATAGACTGAAATTTAGGCAAATTATTGGTTTATAGGAACATGTATCTTGAATCAAACTTTATATCAACTTAGTTGGATAATGTTCTTTTGAGACAGCCTGTTGAACTGGAGGTTACAAGATTAGAGGTCAATATCACAAAGGTGATTGACAGACTGAAATCAAGGATATATTCTGTTTCCTGTTGATACCAACACTTAGTTTGATAATATTCCTTTGAAAAAAACTTGTTAGTACAATCAGTAGATCAGAGGTCAAAATGAGAGTTCATATGAGCAGACCGAAGTGTGTGTCATTCCAGTACATTAGTACTAACTACTGGCCGGTTATACCCTCGGGGACTAACAGTCTACCTGCAGAAGTATCGAACCAGTGGAAGTAATAACATTAACGGTACTCTTTTTACTGCACCAGTTGCGCATTTCGACAATTAATGTCTCTCCAGTGATGATCGAGGCCAAATTCTTTGAAAATTCAAAACCTATTACAAACGTTGCAGAGCTGATAAAACAAATAGGACCTAAAGTATAGTCAAATCCGGCGAAGGAATCGGAGCTTTGTATGAAAGAGATATATTCCTGAACTTGAAATGATTTACAAAAATTTATAACACCAAATTTCAATTAAAAAAATATCCGTATTTTCAGAAGTACTGGCTACTGGGCTGGTGATACCTGCGGGGACTAACATAGTCATCAAAGTTTGAATTGTTCAGTGACAGGACATTTAGCGAAATCGAAGTAAAAGGAAAATTCCAGCTTTTCATTTTTTTAGAAGCCCCTATCCTCATAAGAATAAAGGAACAAGTAGGCACACAGAGTAGCACAGTTGGTACCCATAGAAATGCCAAATAACTGCTGAAAAATATTTCCTCCAAGTGTAAGAAATATGTCCATTAAAAAATCCAGCTTTTTGATGATTTCAGTTTCAGTGAACGTTTTGTTCGAATCAGAGTAATATATTTTACATAGATTTGTCTCTTCCTAAAACAAGATACAAAATGTATTTGTATTTGAGTTGGCCATTCCGTTTTAAGTTTGACTTATATTTCAATCTGTCTTTAAGTTTAGGTTTCCAGTGGAGAGAAGGAAAATCCAATTCTTCATTTTTGGTTGAAGATTTCCTCTTGTGTAAATGTCATGGGAGTATACGTTAAGTTGTCAATTGAACTGTCAACACCTAATTCCTTTATCAAACACTTAATATAACGTGTTTTAAAACACTACTACGATTTTTTGAAGGCTTTGTTATAACATCATTAACTGTCATTATATTGCAAATGATTTATAACAAACTATATGAAAGATATGCCATCAACACCTTTTTCCCCAAATGATCAAAATCATTAGGATAAAATTGAAAACAACCATATTTCATATATTTCATATTAAGAAGTTGTTTGAGATAATGAATATACAGCAGAATTTCAAATAAAAATCACCATAAATTGACACAACAAATAAGTTTTAAAGATTGAAAAATAATCATTGTATTTCATATCCGAAGTATGCGAAGACAAACCATGTGTGATACGTGTAGAATATATATTTTGTCTTAATTTCAATTGTTCATGTAGACACAATAATTAAATCAAAATGCGCTTGCTCAAGCAATTTGATATTGTTATAATCATGCATGAACAGTGGTTCTAAACAATTGAAATGTTCAAGTTATCGAATTTCTCTTTTCTAACTGTAATCAACCATTTGTAAGAATTAATAGAAAAATAAAAAGATTAAAAAACATTTCGAAAGAACGCTATTATTTCATATTTTATAAATCGTGATGGCAAGTAAACTTCCGTCGTCACGTTCCAAATCTACTTTGTCAATTAACAGTAAAGTAGTTACTTTACAAACTTCCGACGAAGCATGTGGACCTTGCAAGAGAGATAATAGTGAAGACTATGCCTTCAGTTGGTGTATCGATTGTGCTGAAGGACTGTGTTCAGACTGTGAGAAACATCACAAGAAGTCAAAGACAAGTATTACACACAGGCTCATACCGTTACTAAAACTAAAAGATATCAGTGACTTTTTGAGGAACTTTACACAAACATGTTGTGACCATACTGGAGGCAGTTTCACATTTTACTGTAAAAGTCACGACAAATTGTGTTGCCCTGGATGTGTGACCATCCACCAGAAGGAATGCCATGAAATCATCACCCTTGGGGAGGCCTCTGTTGACGCAAAAAAGAACGGAAAGATCGAGGATTTAGGAGTGCGAATGAAGGAGGCGCTAACAACGTTGAACGAATTAGAAAATCACAAGAAAGAAAATATTGGGATGATAAATGCACAGAGGAATGGAATCAGAACAACATTAAGTGAAATGAGGCGAAAAGTCAATGATTATTTAGATTCATTGGAAATGAGAATTGAGGAAAAATTGCTACAAGCTCATAAAGAATGTATAGAAAAACTAGAAACTCAAACAAAAGACTTGGAAAAGAGAACAGAAACATTGAAAACGTGGCAAAGTGATATCACAATGGTGAAAGACTATGGATCAGATATACATTCGTTTGTAATGTCCAAAAGTCTTGAGAATCTCATGACAGAATTAGAGACTTTCAATAAAAAATCAACGGAGAACTTTATAGGACTGAACCTATCGTTTGTAACATCAACAACATTCGAAAATTTGCAGAATACAGTGCATGCACTGGGAGAAATTTCGGTCAACAAATCCTCGACTGAGTTGATCATTACACCCAGAAAGTCTGCACGAATAAAGAGTAAATTAGTAGTAAAATAGAATCAGATACCTATGCATACAAGACAGTGCGCTTGTAAAATTAAGGAGCATGATTTGATTTGCTAATTGTGTGAGTTTTCAACTACAATAAACTAAGCTCATAATGGTGTATGCTTAAACTTCATGTTTTATGAAATAGATACCCTTTATTATATCTTTTATATTTCTGCAGAAGTCTATGTAGACTTGTCTCATTGGCAACCATACCACATCTTTTTATTTTTACATTGTATATATAGCAATGTCAAGGAGCATGATAACATATTGAAGTTTTAGTTGTTCTACAAAGAGGCATAATTGACTAAAACTTCCAAAATAACGCAGAGGTCGCTTACATAAATTAATAGTTTAATTCGAAAAGTAAGGAATGAAACTTTTCGCTCTGTGAAATTCAATTATGAAGTGACAACTATTAACATTCAAGTAAAGAAGTATTTTAATTCAATTTATAGTAATGTATAATTCTTGAAAAATAAGCTTTCCGATGAAAAAAATATTTTTACATCATATTGAAAGTAAATATCATCAAACGGAAATGAAACTGGCGTTTAATCATAGCACGAAAAGTTGTCGCACAAATCCGTGTGATTTCTGATAAATACAAATACAAGTTTTGTGCACGAAATGACAGAAGAGAAATATATATTTTTTTGATTTTTGTTAAATATTACTTTTGTTGAAAAAAGGAGAAAATAAAAAGGGCCAATCAAATTTCGTACGTCGAAGATAAACCGACAACACATTGGCCGATGCGTCGCAGCAAGCAATTGATTTAGGTAATATGTTTACTGAAGCACAACTGATGAAGTAATGTTAAAAGGGATGAAACTATAAAGTATTTGAATATAACTTTTTTCTTGTGCAATGAGTGTCGAAATTTTGAAAACTGTCTAATGTATTATATTTTTTATATAGAGAGGGACTTTAATTGTAAGTGCTCCAATCTTTGGAATTGTTTAGTGTCCAACAGATTTAATTGTGAGAAAGGGTATTTGGATTAAATCAGTGAAGTTTTAAGTATAATAACAATTGTTTGATTTCTCCGCTCTAATTCAGCTTGAAACAAAACTGAGACTACTATATAAGTTATAGTAGCCTCAGAACAAAATTAGAATTTGGTATAAAACTGATGCATTTTTGGGGAGTCAAATTTCAATTTTAGAAAAAGA